TGCCCGTCGCTGTCTTTGATCTTCATTTTTGCTGGAGCAAAGGCAACGGCTTAGCATGCCGATTGCCATGCAGGATAATTGCGCGCGGATCAGTTTAATGTGTACTCCGGCGTAATGGCGGGCAAATATCTAGTTCGAACCGCATGAACTGGCCTTAATGTGCTGACGCGTGCTGACTGGTGGGTTGTACCTGAACTGGCCCTGATGCCTAGGCGGATCCTGGGGCGGGGGGGGGGACGGGGCCATGGCCCCCAAAAAACTGAGAGTATGTTTTGCCCCTCCCCCCCCCAAAAAACATTCCCAAACCTTCATAAAAGTTTCGTATACTTACCGTCTGTTTTAATTTTGATCGGGCGGTATTGAACATTTCTTTCCGCTTCGGAAAAAACTTCATGAAGGAAAGTTGGCAGCGATTTGAATATAAAAACCGCATGTTGACGCGGCTTAGTCATATTCGACGCAAATATTGCGTTTAATAAGTGCACTGGACCTCGGATCTCACACCAGCCAGCTGGCGACGAACGGTTGCCCCCCCCCCCCCCCCCCCCAACTCCGGGCTAGATCCGCCCCTGCCCTCATGTACTGACGCGTGCTGGCTGGTATGTTGTGGTAGGCATGAAGCGGTCAGGAAGATCGTGCCGCCCGACCGGTCACCACCACAGGCCACCACCAAAGGTCGTCCTCATTGCTCGTAATCATAAATTAATCTGACTGATTGTATCACAAATATCAAGACACAACTGACTGATTTGGGGGAAGGGAGTGATTTTTTCAAAAGATCTTCATGAAATCACGGTGACCAAAGCCTACGAGCTTGGGCGTAGAGACGGGGGGGGGGGGAGAGCAGGGGGGCCATGCCCCCACTTTTTAGATATTTCTTTGGCGGGAGGCGCATCCCATCCCGTCAATGCTGCATGCATTGCAGGCCTTAGGACGTGGGCGACGTCACCGCGGCCAGACGGCACGTGCGCGGCGACGACACAACACTGCGCCGGCTCGAGGCGCGACGCCAGGCGAGGAACGCCGGTGGCCAAACCGAGGCGACACGAGAAGGCCGCGGCCACAATTGCCTTCCCGTGCTATGGTGTGACATAAAATATCGAGTGCCGATAGGTTTTCAGTTAGGTAACACCAACGTGAAATTTTGTTGAAAAGTGGCCATTTCGTGCAAAACGCGTCAACCGAAACAGAACATGCATCCGCTCTGTACTCGTGCTGAATTTTCTATTGGCTCTCATTTGAGACGAAAAAACGTCCGTTTCTGAATTTTGACTTTTTTGCAACAAAGTGTCTGCGGCGAGATTTTTGTTCACTCGTATATTGACAACAACGGCACTGAATGTTTGTTCCATCATTGTGTATCGTCTGCATCGGCAATCTGCTTTCAAACGGAGCGGGTCTCAGAAACAAAACCGTGGAAATTTGCACGCATCAAGAATGCTCTATGTTTCTAGTGGTGCAATCATGTTGCATTATAAGTCATTAGACACAAAATTGCACGGCGAACAAGAAGTTGTAGCTTAAAAAATTAACGCATGCATAGTTTTTAAATTATTTGAAAAAAACACTCATAACTGGCGCTCGATGTCGATTTTGCAATTGCTGCAGAAACTGCTTAAATGCACAGAAACTTTGCCGCTGCATTTACTCACTAAATGGACCATGCCTTTTCATTCCGAAACCAAAAAATCGCGCTCGCAAAATTTTTATTTTTTCGAAAAAATGATCACGCCCAAAATTTTTGGTCATCACCCGATGATCAAAAATGTAGTCAACAAGTGGTAACATCGCTTTACATTGTTTTCAAGTAAAAGCAGCCTTCTATTTTCATTGGTTCGAGAGATGTTAGTTTGCACCGTTTTACTACCCAAAAAACGGCCGTTTTCAAATTCTGCACAGGTGTTGCGTTACACCTGTTTTGACGCGCAATTGCCTTCCCGTGCCATTGTGTGAAAAAAAACTGTCCAGTGCCGATAGGTTTTCAGTTAGGTGCAACCAACGTAAAATTTTGTTGAAAAATAGCCATCTCGTGCAAAACGCGTCAACCGGCATAGAACATGCATCCGCTTTGTACTCGCGTTGAATTTTATATTCGCCCTCATTGGAGACAAAAAAACGTCCGTTTCTAAATTTCAACCTCTTTTTCGTAACAAAGTGGCCGCAGCGAGATTTTTGGTCAATTGCATGTTGACAACAACGCCACTGAGTGTTTATTCCACCCTTGTGTATCGTTTGCACCGCCAATCTGCTTTCAAACGGAGCGGGTCTCAGAAACAAAACTATGGAAATTTCCGCGCATCATAAATGCTATACGTTTCCAATGGTGCAATCATGTTTTATTATTAATCATTCGACGCGTAATTGCACGACGAACATGATAATGTAACTTAAAAATATAACGCATGTATAGTTTTTAAATTGTCTGAAAAAACGCTCTCAACCGGCACTGGATGTAGATTTTGCAATTGGTGCAGAAACTGTTTACACGCACAGAAACACTTGCCGCTGTATTTACAATGAATTAACCATGCCCTAAAATTCCGAGGTAAAAAAATTGCGTTTTGAAAACTTTTATTTCTCGAAAAAATGGTCACGCCCAACATTTTTGACCGTCATCCACTGATCAAAAAAGTAGTCAACAAGTGGTAACAGCGTTTTACATCGTTTGCAAGCAGAAGCAGCCTCCTATTCTCATTCCTTCGAGAGATATGAGTTTGGAACGTTCTACTACCCAAAAAAGGCCGTTTTCAAATTCTGCACAGTTGTTGCGTTACACCTGTTTTGACACAGAGTTGCCTTCCCGTGCTATGGTGTGGCATTAAGTGCGCCGTGCCGATAGGTTTTCAGTTAGGTACAACCAACGTCAAATTACGTTGAAAAATGGCCATCTCGTGCAAAACACGTCAACCGGCACAGAAGATGCATCTGCTTGGTTATCGCGATGAATTTGCTATTGGCACTCATTTTAGGTCAAAACAAACGGCCGTTTCTGCATTTTACATTATTCTCAACAAAGTGGCCGTGGCAAGATTTGTGTTCACTTACATGTTGACAACAGCGGCACTGAATGTTTGTTTCATCACTGTGTGTCGTCTGCACGTGCAATCTGCTTTCAAACGGAGAGGGTCTCAGAAACAAAACCATGGAAATTTGCCCGCATCAAGAATGCTCTATGTTTCCAGTAGTGCAATCGTGTTATATTATAGGTCATTAGATGCGTAATCGCAAGGCGAACACGATGGTGTAACTTAAAAACTATACATGCGTTAAGTTTTTAGTTAGTTGTAAAAAACACTCACAAGCGGCGCTCGATGTAGATATTACAAATGCTGTAGAAGCTATTTACATGGCCAGAAGCACTTGCCGCTGCATTTACATACTAAATGGACCATGCCCTTTTGTTCTGTAAAAAATGGCCTACATTGTATATTATGTTATTTTCTATTTGAGATTTGATATTTGACACACTACATTTGAAATCTTTATTTTGTTCGAAAAAATGATCGCGCCAAAGTTTTTGGTCATCATTCGGTGATCAAAAAGGTAGCCAAAAGATGGTAACATCGTTTTTCATCGTTTGCAAGTTAAAGCAGACTTTTATTTTCATTGGTTCGAGAAAATTGGAACGTTTTGCTACCCAAAAAACGGCCGATTTCAAATTCTGCACAGGTGTTGCGTTCACCTGTTTTGACGCAGAATTGCCCTCCCGTGCTATGGTGTGACAAAACTGCCCAGTGCCGATAGGTTTCAGTTAGGTAAAACCAACGTGAAATTTTGCTGAAAAATGGCCATCTCGTGCAAAACGCGTCAACGAGCACAGAACAGGCATCAGGTTTGTACTCGCGGTGAATTTTCTATTGGGCCTCATTTGAGACGAAAAAACGTCCGTTTCTGAATTTTTACGCTTTTTGCAACAAAGTGGCTCCAGCAAGATTTGTGTTCACTTGCAGGTTGACAACAACGGCACTGAATATTTCTTTCATCATTGTGCATCGTCAGCACGTGCAATGTGCTTTCAAACGGAGCGGGTCTCAGAAACAAAACCACGGAAATTTGCGCGCATCAAAAATGCTGTATGTTTCCAGTCGTGCATTCATGATTTCTTATAGTTCATTCGACGCGTATTCGCC